GACATCTGCCATGATGAAGGCTTTCCTTGCTCTCCGTCCCTTCTTGATTTTCTGTTGTGCTGTTCCCAAATACCGAAGCCCCCGACAGTTGGCAGTAGCACATTGAAACTGGTCTTCATCACCAGGGAAGGTTTCATTGCACACCTGGCAGTAATGTATTTCCCTGATATTGCTCTCACCAGCTATGCTCCACAAAGTTGCGTAGTTGATGTCTTTCAGTGAGGATGAATCTGGGTATAATTGCTTCATGAGGTTCAGTATGTCCTTACATGCCTCTCCTGACAAGTTGTGCTTCAAAAAGCAGGACATAATTGACAGTTCAGGCTTGTTCTTTTCACCAGCAGCCAGATCCTCATCATTGTCGTCATTATCATCATCAAATGCCCCTTCAGAGTCCAGCGATTCTGAATCAGAGTCTGTTAATAATAATAATACATTTAATTTATATAGCGCTTCTCATCTGCCAAGACAAATCTCGAAGTGCTTCACAACAAAGGATACTAATACACTTTGATAGATTAAACAAATAATTGTAATAATAATAAGAAATCAAAAAATAAAATATAAAATATAAAATAAAGTACAAAAATAAAAGTCGGTGATAGTGATAAAAATGGCAGTACTCCAGGTGTACCATGCTCAAAGTTTATTGGAAGGCCTGCCGAAAGAAGAGGGTCTTAAGGCCGGTTTTGAAGACCTCGGTGGAAGGGGCAGATCTCAGCTGATCTGGGAGGGAGTTCCAGAGGCGCGGGGCGAGTGAGCAGAAGGCTCGGTCTCCCATTGTTCGGAGACGTGTGCGGGGGATGTAAAGAAGAGGAGCGTGGCTGGAGCGGAGAGAGCGGGTAGATGTCTGGGTATGGATGAGGTCACAGAGGTATTTTGGGCTTTGTCCATTCAGGGCTTTGTACGTGAGGAGCAGAACCTTAAACTGGATCCTGTAGTGGACCGGGAGCCAGTGTAGTTTTGCAAGTATGGGGGTTATGTGTGCGGACCTTTTTGTACCGGTGAGAACTCTGGCTGTGCTGTTCTGGACAAGTTGCAAGCGGTTGATGGATTTGGCTGGGAGACCGGAGAGGAGTGCATTGCAATAGTCTAGTCTTGAGAAGACGAGTGCATGAACCAGTTTTTTGATGTCATCAGTTGAGAGTGAGGGCTTCAGTCGGGAAATGTTTTTCAGGTGAAAGAAGGAGGTCTTGGTGATATGTTTGATGTGGGCTTGGAAAGACAGATCTGTGCTCACAGAATTTGTATCGTCACTGTCATGACTGTGAACATCCAGCGGGGGGCGGGGTTCTTGATGCTGCTCATCTGCCACCATCAGTGGACCAGCGTCCAAGGCACTTACCAACAGGTGGGTTTCATGTCCAGTTTCAGCAGCTGCTTCAGTTTCACTGTCACTCAGGACATCACTCTCGTCAGTGACCAAGCTTGTCTTGCTAAGTCTGCGCATCTGTGTCCGCTTTGGTATTGGAATGTTGGAATCATCTAAGTATCGCTTCCTGGTCCTCTTCACTGGGCCTAGAATGAACAATAAAAGGAGTTTTGGTGAATAAAAAAATCCAAATATTTTTTTTCCCAGTCCCAAAGATTAAAACAAACCTTTTCCCGGCCAAAAATAAAAAATTATCATTTGGGAATTTATTTTTCCCCAAAATAATTCTTGGTTGGCAGATCTGTAACCCACAATCTTCTATCCAATACTGTCGTCCCCCCCCCCTCCCAGGCTGTAAAAATCATTTTATTACTTTGAATTATCACTATAGGTATTCATTCCATCCAAATACAACTGTTGTGAAAAATAAATAAATATAAATAAAAATAAAAAGCATAGTCTGTTATCCTCTTAGGCCCCACGGTTCCGGGGCCGAAATCGCGTCATTTGCAGGAAAAAACGTCTAAGGAACCTTCATATTTAATAAACTATGAATATTTATATCCATATAACGGGAAAAAACTCATTTAACTGATCTTTTTCATTTTTTTTTTCAAATAAAAACACACAATGCTAACAGTGAGCCTCTGAATTAGCCCAGAGCGAAAAATGCTAACCTATTACTGCACCGAAAATCACTCCTAGCTCCCTTATTACTTATCCTAGCTGCACATCCAACACATCGTTTATGATCGTAAAGACACAGAATCTAAGTAAGCATTTCTACCGTGAGTGCTGTGCTAAAGTCCGTTAGCATTAGTTAGCATTTTTTCGCTCCATGCTAATTCAAAGGCTTGGTATTACTCTTGTGTTTCTTTTAGCTAAACATGGTTCATATTGTCAGTTAGCTGAGTTTCTTACCGTTAAAAGGGTATGGAACATTAATAGTTTCATAAATGTTAAGAAGCCCTGAGACATAGTCTCGTAAAAAAAACGGTGGGAGGGGTCCACTGGGGGGACCCTCGGGCTTAAGAGGTTAATGGTGCAGCAGTTATTGTTAACTTATATAGTGTTTAAAAAGGTAGAACTCAATGTTGAAATCACAAGCCAGGAATTTCGAAAATTACTTACTTTTGTTGTGAGCACTGACGAGATGTGTCAATATGCGTTCCTTCCTGGAGAGAAAACGCCCACATTCAGAGCATTTAAAGCTTATTTTTCCATCGACCATGTGGACGGTGTAGTTATCTTCCTTTGAGTTTGACATTTTGTGAAATTGCCTGGCTGGGAGAGAATGGTGCCATCAGCCATGGGTTGGAGCTGAAGGGTTGAACACTTTTTGCACACGACTCTCGTTTTGCACACGGCTCGTTTGCTTCCGACCGTGCCTTTCCCGCGAATCCTGCATGGATCTGTGGATCCAGATGATCTGATTGGATGAGAAGTGGGACGCAACGGTTCTTGGCGCCAAAGGAGCATCCATCTTCTTCTTGCTGCATCAGTATCAGTCATTGTCAGTTCGCGGAGTTTCTTTGTCATGGTAAACAAACAAGTATTGATGTGGTGGCCGGAAGAGGGACTGGGGACCGTGCAGTCGCTGTCTCACATCACAGAGCCGAGGAAGGCCTACGAGTCCTACCAAGTTGGGGAAAGGGTAGAGTCGCGATGCCCTGGATTTGAGGGCAAGCACCCTGGAGTGATATATAGACTTGGTATGTATACAGTAGTGTATAGCAGAGGTGGGACCAAGTCATTGTTTTGCAAGTCCGAGTCAAGTCTCAAGTATTTGCGCTCAAGTCCGAGTCAAGTCTCAAGTCTTTGCGCTCAAGTCCAAGTCAAGTCTCAAGTCAGGATGGGCAAGTTCAAGTCAAGTCCAAGTCCTAAACTTTGACAAAACGAGTCTTAAACAAGTCATTATGTGCTTTTCAACAGAATAATACTTAATAATGAAACTGCTCTTTATTAGTCACATTAATAATTTAATAATCCATTTTCTCTCTGCTGGTAAAGTAACGTGTGTTTTTCTAATTTAAGAGGGATCAGTAAGGTAAGGCTGTGTACAACATGTTGTAAGGGACCCACAATCTATCTTTATGCAAGGGATAATGTGCAGCGAGGTGGTCTCTATGGGGAAAAGAACACCTGAATCTAGATCCCTCTGCAGGTGGTACTTTAAGTATATTTTGATGCTAATACTTTTGTACTTTTACTTGTAACATTTTGAATGCAGGACTTTTTATTGTACAGGGTTCCTGCAGGTTTCGCCAACTCAAATTTAAGACTTTTTAACACCTTTTTAAGACCACTTTGAATAGAATTTAAGACCTATTTCACGGCAATAAAGTATGAAGGAAAATTGATATGAAAGAAGAAATACGTCCCATAATCACTTACAAAGTAAATGTATTCATGTTCAACATAAGAACAATGACTGAACATAACAGCATAACAGTACAGAACTGTGTTAGCGTGTTAGACAAAAAGTGTGTGTGTGTGTGTGTGTGTGTGTGTGTGTGTGTGTGTGTGTGTGTGTGTGTGTGTGTGTGTGTGTGTGTGTGTGTGTGTGTGTGTGTGTGTGTGTGTGTGTGTGTGTGTGTGTGTGTGTGTGTGTGTGTGTGTGTGTGTGTGTGTGTGTGTGTGTGTGTGTGTGTGTGTGTCAAGAGCTATATTCAGAGCTCTGCTGCCTTGACTACACTATTTCATCGTTGCTGTTGTATGATTGGTGTTTAGCTGCGGTATTTAGCATCTACAGCACCTCCGCTTTTAGGGTTGACGTAGATCCAAACTTCGCCCGGAGGTCCCCCGGTGTTGTTGCGGGAGCTGCTGCACTAGCTAATGCTACATTAGCTGCTGCTCCACTAGCTAACGCTACATTAGCAAAACAAACACTAATTTCTTTTGCAAAAGATGCAGTGGGCTTCAAACACGTTCCCTCCACTGGTTTCAACCAAGCACTAGATGTTTTCCAACCAATAACGGTTGAACTTACACTTCCCCATATTTATTTGTAAGTAGATTCGAAGATAGGCTACATGAGCTGAAGCTTGGTTGCTAGGTTACTAGCTGGGTGTTCTCCAATAAGGGGCCGGGGGAAACAAAGTTAGTGATTACTGGTTCCATGTTGATTTAATTCAATACAAATTGTTGGGGGGAACTGAAAGGCTATTACCGTACTGGTTAATTGCAACCCGGACATTTCCCCCAAAACACATTTCGACGCTATCGCAACACACGTTATGCTCACATACTTATTTAATTATTCAAATGTAAACCGATCTTTTTCATATGGGTGTTTAGAGTTGTACCCCCTAGATCTAGTCTCTAGTAATTCTGCTTAAAGTGCACCAGATTGAAGCATTTTGCTTTAAAATGTTCAAACATTTCTTCCTGGTACCGTATGCCTGAGAAGGCAGATATGCTTGTTTTTCTCAACAAGAACTTAATCATTTTTTTTACCCTGCCCCTCAAAGAATCGGAATTGAGAACCGGAATCGAAAAGTAGAATCGGAATCAGAATCGTGGAAATTCAAACGATACCCAACCCTAGTAGTCTACATATAATTATGCAAACTAATGGGTTATTATTTGATTCAATAATTACAGGTGCAGTGAAAAAAAACCTGGAAGCCCTCCTAGGTGAGCCAGACTTTGTGGACAAGGCAACTAGGTTCACTAAAAGTACTGCCAGTTAACCCAGTGCAGGGACTTCAGGCACAGACACAGTCAAACGACGACCATCCAGGTAACTATTACTATAAGACCTATAATGAGGCTGGCTCAATTAGTTAAAAAAATGGCAATTCATTTGAATTGAAATTTGAGGCTAGACAGTTGGTGGTTTGATCTTTCAATCTGATTGCATTTTAATTAGCATAACATTTAAAAATGTATCAACATTTTCAATGCATTCGAGTCGTAAAAAAATGTTGTTAGTGTGTCTTAAATTAAGCAATTTTTTTCCAAAACTTGAAATTGCGAAATTAAATTGCACGCTAAATATACTTGACTTACAGTTACAGTACTAGTCATTCTAAATTTACCTAAAATGGTATCTGCTTACACTTACAGTCCCTCTCCAATCATGACATCCAACCTCCATACCCCAGGCTGGCACAGTGACAATCCGTCTGCAGGCAAGAGGCCCAAGAAAGACTCTAATGAATCGTGAGTAAATATGAGTATGAAGCACAATTTTGATCATGTATGTCTAAACCAGATGATATTTTAGGGAAATGATTTCCAAAGAGCAGTTAATCTTTTCTACAAAGTAAACTTGTGCAATAAATTATGGAGTAAAGTTTACACATTTTACCAAATCCTTCACATATTATATACATGTACATGTACTGTCGCTGTTAGTTTGTATTAAGTGCTTCTCTAAATTGAACTTGTTTTATCCGATCCAGCTCATCCCAAAGCAATCTGCCAAGTCCCCCTCCTGTGTCTCCCCGCTATCATCATACAGCTCCCACTGGTGAACCGAGAACCTCAAAATCTTCTGAATCGTGAGTAAAACATGCATGTAGTAATCTTCACAATATTAAATTCAGCACAATCATATCACTTAGTTCTCTATTTTAAGTTATTATTTTCAAAATGGAGTCCTTACATTTTTCACCTTACTCTGACTTGCCACCAGTGAAGTGTTAGGTCAGTGAAGTGTTAAGTCTATTAAAGTCAATATGGTCAAGATGCTAATTGAGATATTTTAAAGCCCACGCGCAAGCTAATGACTTTTGGTCAGTTTGGTCTGCGAATTGATGAGCAGTTACTTGAGAAGTATTGTGAACATGGGGATCACTGAAAAGCTTCACAGTCCAGATTTAATGATGCAACATCATGATGCAAATGAATATTGATATTTTCCAGTGGCCGTGTGACCAGAAAGGAGTTTGATGAATTGACGGAAAATGTCAAGAAGCTGCGCCGTCGGGTCCACCAGCTGGAGAAGGAGGCGAAGGAGGGCAGCGCGAAAGCGAGTCACTCAGCGAGCTGATCTCATCCGCCATGTGGATCGACCTTACGCAGCAACAAGGGTGCTGATGCTCACCCTGTTCACGGAGGAATACATTAGGACACACAGCGTGTCTGGCAGGGCCAGCAACACCACAATGAAGGCGAAGCCCATATTCGATGGTCGCTTGTACAACAAGATGCTTGGAACAATGCGGGCCAAGTTCCCCAGTTTGAAGACATCTGACATCACCGCGAAGGTGCACGCGGTGCAGAAGAGTTTGAAGGCTTGAGCCTTGAGGTGCGAGCGGCCGACTCTGTGTGTGCAACTATAGAGTGACAGTGTACTGTAGATGAAATTAAGTGCAATTAACATGATCTATACAAATATTTTAAAATTAAATGCTTGAAACTATTGAAAAGCTTGTATTAATTTATATTATTTCCAGTCTGGTGGACCATGGTTTATGTCCATGGTTAGACCATGGTTTATGTCCATGGTAGACCATGGTTAGACCATGGTAGACCATTACATTACATTGCATTTAGCTGACGCTTTTATCGAAAGCGTCCATGGTTTATGACCATGGTAGACCATGGTTTATATCAAAGCTCTACCATGGTTGACTGTGGTGCCATATCCCAACCATGGTCTACCATGGTCAACCATGGTAGACCATGGTTAAATGAACCATGTTCTACCATGGTCTACAATGGTTCATTTAGCCGAACGGCAGTCTGTTGTACTCGTAAGCTATTCCCTGAAAGGCAAAAACGCAGATACTTCCGGTGCTCTGGAGCAATTTCCACATGAAAGTATGCGTCTTTCAGGTTGATGGTGGTGACCCAATCGCCCGGTTGCACCAGCCCCATTAACTGTTTTATGGTTAACATGCGAAATGTTCTGCGGCAAATATGTTGATTCAGGCTGCGCAAATCTAGAATAGGTCTGAATTCCCCTGTCTTTTAGAGAACCAGGAAGTACATGGAATAAAGACCATTTTCTCTATGCTGAGGATGCACAACAGACACAGCCTGTTTCTGCACCAGAGCAAAGCCATCTCCTCCTGAGATGACAGATTTACCTCTCGCATGCCTCTGAATGGAGGTGGGATGCTGCAAAACTGGAGTGAATAACCCCGTTTCAGCGTCCTGTCCATCCATTTAGTTAACACACAGCTGAGGCTCCATTCCCCATAACATTGTGTTAATGGACAAGCCCTCAGCTGTGGGGCCGCAGCTATGAAGCTGTGATACTCTCTGGCGACCCGTTCTGCCGTAAAAAAGTAGAAAACATTACATTCAGTTATAACTGCCAAAACAAACATTATTTACACTATTATGGCCCCTGTTAAAAATGTTTGTAATGTTATCTACTGTAAGTTGGTCGAACGAATGCCTCCTCATCCGGAAGCTGACCGAGCAGACCCGAGCAGCAGTCGAGAGGAGCCGAGCGCATCCGCGAAGCACACAAAATGGCGACGTCAGAGTTCCCGTTAGCCGGCAAATCTAAATCTCTTCGGTCAAAATGTCCGGTCAAAATAATTTCCCTTTTAGCGCAATACCGCTTCAGTTGCGCCACTTATCTGACAGACAAGAAGAGTATGTGACAGACAAGAATAGTCAATTCTAATGTCTAACACTTAATGTGGAGAAAGAGATGTCCTGTGTGGGTTGATTGTGCGTTGATCTGTTGGTAATGCCTCGGGGTTCCGGTGGGCATGTAAACAAATGCATAATGCTGCGCTATACTTTGTGGCCTCACCCAGTTGCATAGCGACACTTATTGTTTAGGTGTCTTTTAATAAGCAGGTAGTCATATCATTAGCTAGAACTAGCTAGATCTGATCGATATGGACATAAACGCGAGTGAAGTCTAATTTGACGGGAGAGAGAGATCAGCTGCTGCTGACGTGTCGACACGCAGTTCTGCATGACCACATGCAGCGGTGAGCGGAACAAACACACACTTCAGGTTAGAATATCACACGTAGCTATTTTAATTACCTCTCAAACTACCTAAACTAGTTATAGATATGTTTAGTTTTACTGTCGGGTCACTCATTACTGGATCCGCGAGCTGCATGATACTGGCATAATAGATTGCCCGATCGGTCAACCAGCAGGTGAGGCTTCATTGCCCGAGCTAAATACTAGATGGCCCCGGGCCATCGGGCAGTCCTTAATGTCGAGCCCTGGCCGAGGTCGGGCAGCCCGTCCCCGTGAGTGCCGGTACGCCGGTCCCGCGTAGTGGGCCGAAGAAGTGGGTGGGCGCTACAAATACAGAACTTGTGTACCGGCGCCTCTCCCTCCGTCTTGCCGTTGCGCTGCGCTGTCCGCGGAGGAGCGCGCTGCGATGTCTGAGGAGAAGCTAGCAGTAGCATATGGCTAAGCTGCACCCTCTACTCCTCCAGACGGCTAAAACGTTGAGTGACCGAGGCCATCGACCAGAGCCCTTCCGTGGAAACGGGGGCTCCAAGGAGATCTACTCGGTCCTTTCTCGACAGCGCAATGAGTCCCAGCCACACATAACGTGACGCCACTGTGGCTAAGGACATCACCCGCTGAAGTATTAAAATAACGTGTTATAGCAGAAAGTTTAATGCAGCGTATTTTTGGTATATTCATTTTTAATGTCACCTGATATATAAGAAGTGTGTTGAATTATGTTATCACTAGGGCCGGGACTTTAAAAAAATTACGCATTTTAATCGCGCTTATTTTTGCACCGCTGAACGTTTCTCACTGGATGAGTTTCAGGCGTACCGATTATACTGGAGCACCAACTAACGTTCATGACTTCAGACAACAACAAACCACAGTGAATAATAGTCAAACATGAACGAAGAAGCTGATGAGACCGCTTTGGTTGGCCCCGTGGATGGGACATTTTGTTTTAAAAAACGGACGAATGGAAGCGTCGATAAGAGCACGGTTGTGTGCAAATTATGCAAAAAGGAATTTGCATATCACTGCAGCACATCAAGCCTCAAGTATCACCTCAATGCAAAACATATAGCAGCTAGCGTGGAAGCTAGCGTGGACGTTAGCCCGACTCTGAGTACCCACACCCAACCCACACTCAACCAGATGACTGGTTTTAGGGCCAGGATAACTAAGTCCACGTCTGAAAAAATAACCAACTCCCTGGCTCACTGGATTGCACTCGACTGTAGACCACTTGGAGTGGTAGAAGATAATGGGCTGCAGAAGGTACTACAGATTGCATCGTCTGACACAACATATGAGCTGCCATGCAGAAAGACAGTGACAAAAAGAATCCAGCAGCTTTATGACAATGAAAAGGAAGATAAAGATAATTTATTGGAGAAAGCCGAATGTGTTGCCCTGACTGGGGATCATTGGACCTCGGTAAGCAATTCAAATTACCTCGGTGTGACGGCACACTTTATTGACATCAAGTGGCGTCTTCACTCATTTGCCTTGACCACCCAGAAGACCACCACTAGGCACTTTGCTGAAAACGTGGCAGAAGATTTTGAGTCTGTGGCAGAGGCCTGGGAAGTCCCACAAAAAGTCACCACAATCGGAACAGACAGTGCCCGAACCATGACCGCTGCAATGAGACTGCTCACATTCCAGCACATGCCGTGTGTTGCTCACGTGTTGCAAAGGACCATCACAGTTTGCCTTGCTGACAGCGGGTTCACAGGCACATTGGCAAGATGTCGTAAGATAGTGGGGCATTTTAAACACAGCCCCTCAAACACAGAGGAACTGCACAAGGAGCAAACAGAACTAGAACAAGACAAAGAGCCACTGATACAGGATGTTTCCACAAGGTGGAATTCAACACTGTTTATGATCTCTCGTCTGCTGAAGAACCAAGAGGCTGTGAAGGCTACTCTAGTTGTTGACTACAGCAGAGTGGGACAGACTGCAGAGGTTCGAGACCCTCCTTAAACCATGCAGGTAAACACCCACCAACTGTTTTATTAATGGGATTCATTCATCATTGCTGTCCCTTGAAAAACGTTGTGAATTGACTGATAGTGCAGTATAAATTAAATTGCTTTTCCAAAATGTATTGTACTGAATATCAATATCACTATGACTATAGTATAAAGTTGCTACTGTTTTTAATCTACTATTAATTGGTACAATAATAAATCACTTTCCTAAACTATCCACTGCAGATATGTGACTGAGCTCCTTGGGGGTCTCGTGCTCTGTTGTGTTACCTGCTCTCCGCCACCTGACCCGCACCATGGAGGTCTCAGATGACGACCCAGCCTATGTGGTGAGGTTCAAGGCTTTAAAAAGGACCTGTCTCAACGCCAAGATGCACTCAACCATGGATGGCTCAGGGTGGCTACAGCACTCGACCCGCGCTTTAAGGTAACATGTGTAATGGTCTTCTTTGTTTTTCTCTTTTCTTGCTTTTTGACCTCCTTTCCCCTGCCCCCCCCTCTTCTTCCCTCCCCCCTCTTTCTTTCTATGGAATAACAATATGATGGGAACCATGTACGAAAATGAATTTCACCCACCTTTTTACTCTGTAAATCTGTGATGTGACAATAAACCTGATTCTGATTCTAAGGACCTAAAGTGTCTACCAAGAGGAGAGCGAGGAGGGGTGTGGACCAGCGTTGAGACACTGCTGCAAAAAGAACCAGACAGAGCCACTCCAGAACCCACAGAGGAGCCAGCAAGGAAGAGGAGCCTCCTGCTGTTTAATTCAGACTCTGCATCAGAGGATGATGAGGGGCCCAACGGGGCTCTGGGCCACTACAGGGCAGAGCCCACCATCAGTGAGACAGACTGCCCACTGCAGTGGTGGTCCACTCATGAGGGAGCCCATCCACAGCTTTCTGCTCTGGCCCGCAAGTATCTGGGCAGCCCTGCCACTTCTGTCCCTTGCGAGAGACTTTTCTCACTGGCAGGTAACATAGTTCAAAAGAAGAGGGCAGCCTTGAGCTCTGAAAATGTGAACAGGCTAGTTTGTCTCAGCAACTGGCTGAAAGAGAAGAAGCAGAATAAGTAGTCTTAGAGGTATCCTGAGGCCAATGGGCTTGTTACT